TACCAAGGTGACTGGAGATGCGCGCTGTACACAGAACCATGTGGGAGACCCATGGTTTTGAATGCATGCCGTATGTCCATGCAAAGCAACCCAGAATGAGAGATGTTAGCAGTAAAGATTTTGGGGCAGAGGCCACCTGGTGAACCCGTTCTTGTATTTCATAGACCTCCTCTGTTGGGATGGCCCCACTGGGATCCAGTGCCAATTCTGGATCTATTTCTCTACCTCCTGATCCTTGGTTTATCCTGCAAGGGGCAGTAGATCCTCCCTCCACACCCTCCCCATAAATAACTTTGATATTTTTTGAGGACTGCTCTGAGGTCTTCCTTTTTAGCTTATTTCTGTCAAAGGAACTCTCCATTTCTTCAGTTTCATAGGGATGTTTGCCCAGCCATATTTTGGAATAAGCCAAATGATGGGCTGAAGGCCACAGGAACAAGTAGGTCAGTGAGAGCAGAAGTTTTGGTCAATGTGCTTAGAAGTTGGTTGCATTAACCCAAGTGCCAACATTGGCGCTCCCAGGGGTGACCTATGGGGTTGGGGATGGGAATGGGTGGGACCTGGTAACTGTCTAAAGCGTATAATGGGGAGGCTGCTTCTCCAGCCTGTGTGATCCGAGACAAGAGGATTGAAAACCCTAGCGCAGAATCTCAGCACAGTGATGAGGATGAAAACAGCCTCCCATTCCACTCCTCCTGCTGTGCACTAGGCCAGGGTGTCTTGCAGGGCGAGTGCCTGCAGGGCAAGCAGCACACCCAGGCAGAGAGACAGGCTTGCGCTCGGGGCCTTGCCAATGCAGGGAATCACACCTGCCCACAGGCTTGGATGCCACAATGCAGGTTTCCCTCTGGCCCACGGGCTCCCTGAGCCGTGGTTTCTGTTTAATCACACAGGCTCCATCTGGCAGGTGGGAACAGAAGCAGCACGGAGTAGAGGACAATCACTCGTGAGGCTGAAGAAGCAAAAGCTGCAGTGCCCTTCCCTTGCACATGCTCCTTTCTCAGCCTTTCTTTTCCCATTTAGATAAATAGTCACTTCTCTACTCAGAATTTCGTATTATTTTCTTCAACTGTGTAAGCATCGAGCCTTGTAAACCTGGCACTTTCCCGGCCTGGTGAACTCACCGTTGCGTACAATCTTCCTTCACTGTTCATGGCAACGAAGAGGGCACTTCTCACTCCAAAGAGACTCACCACACCTCGCTCCACGGTGGAAATTTCTAGTAGGCCTGACAAGGAAATGGGAGCCACATTACCTAAGGCTCGTGCAAATCAGACTGGGAACTTGAGCCAACAAGGACATCTCAGTCCATCCCCCTTCTCCTAGAAAGTCTGACTCTCTGTCACCCCTCCCATGATCCCTTTAACTCTAGGAGACCCTGGCTGCTGGACTCATCAGGTGCTGCGTTGTGCTGTTAAAAGTCCACTTCTGCAAGGGAAAGTTCTGATGTCGGAGTTAGGGACTGCAATGACCACTTAGTTATCTGTTTAAGATGAGCTCTGAATCTGGTCTTTCAATGACAAAATTACTTGAGGTCCTTGACTTGGGTAAAAAAAGTAAATTCTGATTATCATTATTCTTCATGTGTACTCTACATGTTTCAGCAAATCTCAACCCATCCTGAAAACACAGCAGCCAGACCACGGCTGATGGCTTTCTTGGATCCTGCAGCCCCCATCCTTTCTTGGATAGGAGACTAACCATACAGTAACTTGTCAACTTGCAGGGTAAGAACCTGGAGACAGAGGGAGCTCACTGAAGTGAAAAGAAGGATATGCTTCAGTTGGACATTTTGCAATTGAATTTCCCTTTCTTCTCCAAGAGGGAAGCTGAATAAAAATGAGCTTGTGTCTAATTTGATCCCAGTATACTAACCCATTCTCCCTACCCCTACCTCGGGGGCTTCCCAGACTAATGGTTCCCAGTGGTCTTACAAGGCATCAGATGGGCCAGTATTGTTGCAATAGTTAGTGCCACTGAGGATCGAACCAAGGGGATAGCAAATAACACCAGGATGCTTGGACCCCAGTAGACCAAGCCTGCACCCAGGCAGAGTCCCACAGAGTCATCTAAGCGGTGAGCAGCATTTCTGCCCCCTTTATAGTGCATCGTGTCCACTAGAGCAAGGCACCTTCACCTTTTAGTCCTGCATGAGCCCAAGCCCCCAAGCGTCCCAACTGGCTGCAGCTGGCACTCACTGTAGGGGGTCTCCTTGTGGGTCCCGCTGATCCGGCCGTCGGGGGGCACCTGGAGGTGAAAGCCGATGCCCACGTTGCAGTAGAGCCTCCGCTGCCGCTTGATCCCCACCAGGTAGCCACTTTCCCAATTCACCCTGGCGATCTCTCCAGCTAGCCCCGTGCGAGACCTGGACAGCAGGGTGCCCCAGCCCCTTGAGTCCAGCTGCGTGTTGTTGGCACGGGAGCCCGCAGGCAAGGATACCACCATGCCCACTAGGATGCCTAGGAAGACGAGAGCCCACAGCGTGCCCTGAAGACGTCCTGCTCCCTGGGACATAGTGATGAACAGCTTCTGTCCCAGGGCCATCCACCTTGCCTCTCAGGCACGTGGTCAGAATTAATGGCCCTAAAAATACCGCCCTTCTTGTTTTTCTCCCTCCCGCATGGCGGCAGGGGCTTATTTTTGGAAGGCAGATGAAGGCTGCTGACATGAAACCAAAGCCTGCATCGGGCACTCGGGTTGAGAGCAGAGGGACCCAGGCTGAGCCGTGGCCGGTAGAGACCATGGCTCGGGGACACTCTCTAGCTCACCCGCTCACTCTGTCCGGTGTCGATGATATTTGATTTGACCTATCTTTATAGTTGGTACAGCAGCCCGGCCCTCCCCTCCACCCATCATCACCCTGACGTCAACCCACCCAGCTCACTTATCCAGGGCTGTAACATTAACCTGTTCTTGGGCCTGGCTGCCTCCCCAGACCCCCATCAGCCTCCACACTCCCCAGGGGTTCTGGGAGCCACTGCCATTCCAACTATGAGGCAGGAATGAAGTGAGCAGGGAGCATTTCTGGGGAAGTGGGGAGTTGGCTGGGGGCCCAGGGAAAGAGAGAGGCGAGAGGCCACCCAGGACTCATGCTGGGCAGAAGTTCTCGGCCTGGCAGTGCTGGCTCCTTATTTAGAGGGCAATAGGTAGAGGCAGAGATGGGAGGCTTGTGATGGTGATGACCGTAGCCTGCAAGTCACCCTTGAGGCCTTTTCATTGAAACAGCTCATGGTGGAGGGGAACACTGAAAGGCCAAATCCTTTCAGCAGGAGGGCACAAAAATTCTCAGGTCGTGGGAGGGGGGGCTGTCCAAGGAGGTTTAAGATTGTGGAGGGAGGCGCCGGGCGCGGTGGCTCATGCCTGTAATCCCAGCACTTTGGGAGGCTGAGGCAGGCAGATCATCTGAGGTCAGGAGTTCAAGGCCAGCCTGGCCAACATGGTGAAACCCCATCTCTACTAAAAGTACAAAAATTAGCCGGGCTTGGTGGCGGATGCCTGTAATCCCAGCTACTCAGGATGCTGAGACATGAGAATAGCTTGAACCGGGGAGGCGGAGGTTGCAGTGAGCCGAGATCCTGTCATTGCACTCCAGGCTGGGCGACAGAGAGAGAGTCTGTCTCAAAACAAACAAACAAACAACAAAAGATCTTGATTTTGGAGGGAGGGAGGGCAAGGGCGAGGTTTGCCTGCTCACTGTCTTGGTCACAGCATTCAACCGGGGTGGAAGTTGTGTCTGGCCTTTGACATAGCCCACTGGCCATTCTCCTCCCTGGATTTATCCTTGGCATGTGACTGATATTATTCCCATTTCACAGATGAGGAAGCTAAGGCTTAGAAAGGTTAAGTGACTTGCCCAAGTTACCACAGCTAATAAGTAGCAAAGCCAGAACTCCTAGGGTCTGCCTGAGCCTAAAGCCTGTGCATGTCTAATGCTTGCAGTAGAAGTTGGCTGGCCCGAAGAGTCTATTTAGCTCCTTAAATGCCAATAGCACATCATAAAGTTATTTTAGTAGCATAAAATGATTCATTTGTTAAAAGAAAAAAAAAGAACTTGAGTGTCTTTGATGTACATTGGAATGTCTGTATTTGCAGATAACTTTTGCTGGGCTGATATTACACCCAGAAACTAGTAAAAATATTTCTGCCAGGAAGTTATTCCTACACCCATTTTTCTTTTCCCCATATTACTTTTAAATAGATTACATGTCTAACTGAAGTAAAAAAAAAAATGTTAACCTGCCAAAAAACCTACCCCACAAATTGCTATAGAATATAAAAAGGAACTATTAATACGTCTCTGATGATGAAAAAGTTAACAAGGGTCACCTGGGGAATTGAGTTTAAAATCCTGTTTCTTGTGCTTCAATCCAGGTCTTAATCTGTTGGTGAGACATTGGCACTGATTGTGCAGGGATTGGAAGGAGTGTGTGAGGTGACAACAGTGACATACAGATGGATATGAGCCTCCTGAGCAGTCGAGCTGGTCCCAGCGGGCAGCTTCCTTAGCCACACTCTGCACGCATGCTGCAGGCTGCAGGCAGCCTGGAAAAGCTGCTGGGGCAAGTCCCATGGCCCAAGGACTCTATTGAGGCACCAAACCTTCTGCTGTGCCCTGGGTTCCAGCCACCGGCCTATGGCTTCTACCTGCCTTCTCTCTGCCCTTCGGCCCATTCACTGGGTTTGATGCTTGGATCAAATTTCTGTCGAGCCATGTAATTCAGTGTTGCCCTAGACATGCCTTCTCAGATCCTGTGAAACCCAGACATCTATTATTACCCTCAGCTGGTGAACTGAATGGAGAGGGCCATAGGTACCCCTTATTCCTACTCTCACCACAGTGCCCCCAGTTTCCCCATTGGTTTCCTCTCCCCAGTGGGCCATTGCCCCATACCCAATCTCATGACCACCAGCACTACCATTTCCCACAAGGAAAGATGATGCCTTATGGGCTCAGATTGAGTCTTCTGTGTAGGCCTTCGCTGGAAAATTGTTTTTTAAAAAAATCTTTCTGCAAAGTAAGAGGCTCATGAATAATCCAAAGAGAAAGTTGTCAACAAAAAGAACTTCACTTTGGATTTCCCACTGGGTTTCATATAGTTAAGCTTTCATGGATGCAAGAGCAGTGGGGACACTTTCTCAGTGATGCTGTATGGAATCTTGTGTTAATTATGCTGGTGGTCTTCACTTAGGGAAGAGACAGTCCAGAAACATTTTGGATGGTAAGGAGAAGTCAGTCTGAAATTAACACTTGCCTTGGGTAAGTGGAGAGGTGCTCACCAGCAGAGCTCAGAAACTCTGTGGAATTTCTTGGTACCCATCCACTTTGGAACTGCCTTAGGAGAGGGATTAAACTATAGCAATGTCCATGCCATATACCAATAAAAATGGTGAAGCTTCTGAGATTCACCTCATCCTAGATTCCTCTCTGTGCAGAGGCTGTGGTTGATTTCTCATAAAATGAGGCTTTGGAATGGGGATACCTGGATATGAATCTCAACTCTACCATTCATTAGCTGTGTGACCCTGGGAAAGTTCTGGACCTCTCTGAGCTTCATTATTTTGTCATCTGCAAAATGAGATCTTTACTTCCAAAGGTTGTTATAGTGACGAGCAATAATAGATGCAACTGGCCCGGTGCAGAACACAGCATAGCTATTTCCCAGAAATTTATCCGAAACACATTGAAAATCTCTCACCCAATTAAAGAGGACAAACCCAAAGTCAGAAAGACCATCTCTCATCTCAGGGGGTGGGAGAGACATGTGGGCTTCCAGTTCTTCATTGCCATCCACAAGAGCATATGTTGTGATGGCTGCTAACATATGCTGAAGCAGGCAGCCTAGATTCCTCAAATGTTCTGAAAAGCAGTGAGAGCCTTGGTGTCATCCCCTGTTAAATATAAAGCTTAAGTAATTCATGCTATTAAAAAGCCTGGGTCTTATTTTTATCGGGTGATGTGATGAGGCCGTGTTCTCAATGCACCTCCTCTGCCTGTCTCTATAGCAACTTTACTGTGCTCACGTAGCCATATATTTTGCTGAAGGCTAATTAAGTTGACAACTGGTAGGTCTTCTTGGCTTACCAGATTTGCACTTGACCCTTCTCTTGGGGCTTAGGGACCCCTATGGATGTGAAGTGATAGAGAAAAGAGTAACAGGTGGAGGAGGCCTCTCTCCATGGACCCCTCTTGCAAATAGTTGGCCAACAGCCTTTGGGGATTGTCAATCAGTCTTGCTGGGTGAGCCAAGATCCAGTGGAGGTGAGTGGGAAAATATGTTAATGTCTGTCTCCTTCCACAGAAGGGTCCTTGACCCCGAGGGGGATGCCACGAAGCATAGATTGGTCGAATTTGGCAGTGCTTAGCCACACAGACCGTTCGCATCATCTGCATGATGGAACTCCCTCCGTCATACCAGGAGGTTGCTCTCTGTGACTCCTGTGTATTACATAATCAAGATCAAATGCCCGAGGGGCGACCAGAAGGGAAAGCACATACAACTCAGACGAGCCTCCTCCATGTCGATGGTGAAAAGCTGTGCTTACTCGTATCTTTTACATTTGGTTTTGAAAAACTAGCATTTGCCTTTTTCTGTAGATAATTTAGAAAACATGGAAAATGATAAGGTGGGAAACAAAAGAGCTGTTTGTACTTAGTGTCTTTCTATCTTTTGTCTCAGAGTCTGTCTTTGTGTGAGCTTGGCACAGCGGCCTGGATACCTCCCTGTATCTCCTCCGAATTTTGCTCAGACAGGCACCTCTGCAACTATCTCTGCTTTTTTTTTTTTTTTTTTTTTTTAGTGGTAGAGATTGCACGTGGGATTTAATAGGCATGAAATGGACGTGTGTAGACATGAGGATCTAGGAAGGACTCCTGCCCTAGGCCTGAGCAAAGAGGGACATTTGCAGCTCATAAACATGCTGCAAAAGGGAGAATTCAAGAGAAAAAGTTTCGGCTGATCAACCGTGTCCAGCTTGGACTTCTGCAAGGACAATCCTGCTATTATCTTGCCAACTATTCCCTGGAGAAGCCTCAACTTTGTACTTTCCTAGCAGAACTCAGCTTTTCCTAGGCCTCATCACTTACACAGTGGGAGTCATTAACAGTCATAATCCACATTTCCCTAGTTCATGCTTCTTCCAACTCGTGTGGAACTTCACTCCACTACCAATCACCCCCGAGATATTCCTGCAGTTCCGTAGCATGTCTCACATATGTTCATGAACATGTGATTGCTCCTGTCTGGGCACATTGCCAGGCACCTGTGTGGATCACCCTGTTCTCTAGCCCTTCCACCTCCTGCTGGGCAGCCCAGGGGTATTCCCTTCCTCACTACAGCTCAGCACCTGAAGCCCTCAAGGAGCCAGAGCTGCTTTATGTTCTGTTTCAAAGCCAGGAAGAATGCCTTAGTCCCCTTCTTCATGTTATACCTGTTAAAGAAAATACCTGACCAGAACGACTCATGCCCTGGTGATCTGCTCATTTGAAGTTTTTTTCAGACCCGCTGCCCTGCAAAGGACTCAGTCTTGTTATAGGTTGAGCTGATCAGGTGGGATTCCCATTTTCTTCCATGTAGATTATTTTTCTGAAGGCCCCTCAATCCCTCAGACAAATAGACTTCTGCTGGGGCCAGCCCATCCGCATTGTTTAGATGTGTCTGAATCCTGGCTTGAGTTCAGACTGGAAACCCTGCCCCACTCCCAGAGACCCCTACAATGGGAAGGGAGGGAGTGCCTGAAAACACAGCTTTGTGGTCCAGTTGGTCACCAAGTATTTGCAGAGTTTTCTGGGAGGAAGGTTATGATTCTCTTCTCCACACTAGAAATCATCTTGCGTTAAAGTGCTTCTTGATCTATCCCTTCAATCTGAGTCCCACTGTGGCTGTGCCTCTCAGCGTGACTTCTATCTTCTAGCACTGCCTTTCTTCTCTGACTCACTCACACTCTCCCCTTCCCCCTCCTTACTATGCTCCAGCCATAGATGCAAGCCTAGAGGCTCAGCCAACTGCCAAGAAAGCAGCACCTCAGGGCTGGCTGACCACCACGGTCACACATCTCAGCTGAATTTGCAACGGGTCAGAGGAGTCAGATAACTTTCTGGAACCTCAGAACCTAAGGGATTTTGGCTCTGCTCAGAGTTTTGCGGTTTCTCAGATTTGCCTTTCGTGATCATCATCTAATAATACCTGCTGCGTGCTGAGGCGGGCATGCACCCTGCCAGCCACCAAGCAAAGTTATGTAAAAGACTCACCCCTTAGTGGCAGGCTCCCCAGTGTGACACAGAAGGCCCTCCCTGTCCTGACCTCTCCTGGCCTCTCCAGCTCCATCCGCTGCCTCTCCCTCTCTGGGAATTTTTGGTTCAGCAACCTTAAATGGCCTGTTGTTCACAGGCATACTGTGTGCTGTTTCTGCCTCATGTTTTTGCTCAGACTGTCCTCTCTTTGCTTGGTAAATTGCTTCCCTGTTTAAAGACTCAGCTTAAATGTCACCTCCGGAAGTAATCCCTGACAACCTTCCACCTGTCTCTAAACTGGATTCAGTGGCCTGTTCCCTTCCCCTCTTTCTCGGCCTCATTGATATTTTGCACGATTATCACTGTCACTGCCCTTACTGGGTTTATAATACTCTGACAAGGTGCTGACTTTGATAGTGAAATTCTTAAGGCATCAATGGCATCTTCCCTGTATATTCAGAACCAAGCACCATGCCTGCCAGGCAATACAGTTTATTAAATGTTTGAATTAATGTTGAATTAAAGGCTTTAAATCCACGGATTTCACTTGATGAGTTATTCTCAAACAAGGTCCAAGTCCTCTATAGAGCAGTGATCAGAATTTTGGTGGGAGTGGGATATTAATTTGAAAAAGCACTTTCGATATAATGATTTGCATTTTGTCATTTAAAATAATTACATTGAAAAATTCTGCTTTCACTATGATGCAGAAACTTGTGTTGGACTTGTACTCCCATAATAAACAACAATAACACTGGACAAATAAATGAAACAGCAGTTTTTAAACATTGGATAACAGGAAGCACAGGACTATGATCCCTGAAAAAATAGGAGACAAATAAGATGGACCCCATGATCATCTCCTCTCTCTGCCTGGGGGCACTCTTCAGACCTCAGAGCATGAAAGGAGAACCCACGCCAAGTACAGGGGTGCCCATGAGTGGAGGGTTCAGAGATTGAAGTTTGGTGAGGCTAAGGCAGTCACAGTTTTCAGGGCAGAGTGCCAAAACAGAGGAAGCGGCATAGAGAAAGAGCTGCAGAAATCGGTATAGGTTTGCTCTTGTGTTTGTTGCTGAAAGCTAAGCCATGCAAGTATGGATAAATACCAACAATGTATTCAATTATATTATGTATGCTTATGTATGAGTGAAATGATAATTATGCTATTATACAGTTAATGGGAGGGAAAAAATAGAAATGTTTTATTATAATGTACTTGCACTATCTGTGAAGTGGTACTGTGCTATTTAAAACTTGGTCAGGAATGGTAGCTCATGCCTGTAATCCCAGCACATTGGGAGGCTGAGGCATTTGAGGCCAGGAGTTCAAAAGCAGCCTGTCCAACATGGTGAAAACCTGTCTCTACTAAAAATACAAAAATTAGCCTGGCGTGGCGGTGCACACCTGTAATTCCAGCTACTCAGGAGGCTGAGGCAGGAAAATCATTTGAACCTGGGAGGTGGAGGTTGCAGTGAGCTGAGATCATGCCACTGTCCTCCAGCCTGGGTGATGGAGCAAGGCTTCATCTCAAAAAAAAAAAAAAAAAAAAAAAAGAAGAAGAAAAGTGAACCTGAGGATGTGCACGATGACTCACATCTGTAATTCTAGCACTTTTGGAGGCTGAGGTAAGAGGATTGCTTGAGGCCAGGAGTTTGAAACCAGCCTGGTCAACATAGCGATGCCTTGTCTCTATTAAAAAAAAAATAATAATAAATAAATAAATAAATAAAAGCAAAAAGTAAAAGTGGGCTTGACTTATTGTCAATGTATATTGCAAACACTAGTGCCACCACTGGAAAAAAAGTAAAAAAATAAGTATAGTTAATATGCTAAGAAAGGAGATAAAATAGAATTATAGAAAATGTTCAATTAAAACTAAGAAAGGCATAAAAAGAGCAGACAACAAAACCAGGAACAAATACAAAAGGCAATGAATAGAAACAAAGTAACAAATATGAGCATGTGAATTCAGTGATATCAATAATCACTCTAAACATCAACAGACTAAATACACTAATTAAAAGAGATTGTCAGAGTGGATCCAAAAACAAGACTTAACTATATGTTGTCTACAAGAAATGCACTTTAAATAAAAACACATAAATAGATTAAAAATACAGGAGTGGAGAAAGATATACCACATTAACACTAATCAAAATCAAGTAGGAGTACCTATATTAGTTACAGACAGTACAGACTTCAGAGCAAGAATACTTATCAGCAATAAAGCAGGACATTATATAATGATGAAGGTGTCAATACTCGAGAAAGACATAGCAATTCTTAACAAATAAATCCACTATTATAGGTAGAGACTTCAGCACCCCTTTATCAGAAATAGACAGTTACAGCAGGCAGAAAATCAGTAAGGACATGGTTGAACTCAACAGCAACATCAATCAACTGAATATAATTTACGTCTATAGACAACTCCATCTTTAAATTTCACATTATTCTCAAACATACATGGGATAGTCAATAAGCTAGACTAAATTCTGGACCATAAAACACACCTGAAAAAATATGAAAGAATTGAAATGACACGATGTCTGCTCTCAGACTATAATGGAATTAAACTAGAAGTCAATAACAGAACTATAGATGAAAAATCCCCAAATACTTGGAGACTAAACAATGCACTTCTAAATAACACATGGGTCAAAGAAAAAGTTTCAAGAGAAATATAAAAATACTTTGAACTAAATAAAAATGACAATACATCTTACTGAAATTTGTGAGATGCAGGGAAAGCAGTGCTTTAGGGAAATTTACAGAATTGAATGCATGTATTTGAAAGGAAGAGTATCTAAAAATCAATAATCTAGCTTTCACCTTAGGAAACTGGAAAAAGAGTAGACAATAAAATTGAAATTAAGCAAACAATAATAAAAATTCTAGCAGAAATTAATGAAATTGAAAAGATAAAATCAATAGAGAAAATCAACAAAACCAAAAGCTGATTTTTGGAACGGATTGATTAAATATATAAGCCTTTTACCAAGCTAACTAAGAAAAAAGAGAAAATACACAAATTACTAATAAAAGAAATGAAAGAGAGCACATCACTACAAATTCCAAGGACATTAAAAGGATAATAAAGAAAAATTGTGAACAAGTCTATGCTCACAAATCTGACAACTTAGGTAAAATTAATTATTTCCTAAAAAGACACAGCTGCTAAAACAAAAACAAATAAACAAACAAAAAAAATAGGCTGTATGTGGTGGCTCATGCTTGTAATCCCAGCACTTGGGAGGCTGAGGTGGATGGATAACAAGATCAGGAGTTCGAGACCAGCCTGGCCATCATGAAACCCTGTCTCTACTAAAAATACAAAAAAATGAGCCAGGCATGGTACTGCATTCCTGTAGTCCCAGCTATGTGGTAGGCTGAGGTAGGAGGATCACTTGAACCCGGGAGGGGTTCAAGAGAAAATTTGAGTGTCTAAAAGCTGGAGTGCCAAAATAGATTTCAAAGCAAAGAATGCTATAAGCAATAAAAAAGGTGATTTCATAATGGAAAAGAATCAAATAATACAAGTTAGCATAACAATCATAACTATTCATGTACCTGATAGAATTTCAGAAAGCATGATGCAAAACCGATACGATTACAGAAAGAAATAGACAAATACATAACTACAGTCAGAGATTTCAATACACTCAATAAGTCATAGAATAAGTAGACTGAAAATTAGTAGGGATAGAAATTATCAACAAATCTTACCTAATATAAATTTCAAGAACTCTCCATCCAACAATAACACATGGTCCATTTACCCAACTAGATCAGGACTTCACTGGTAAATTTTACCAAACATTGAGGAAAAAATAATATCTGTTCTACACAAACTCTTCTAGAAAATTGATAAAGAGGATACTTCTCAATTAATTCTATGAGACTAGCATTTTTACCATACCCAGATACAAACGTTAGAATTAAAATAACAACAACAGACAACAACAATTATAGACCAATATCCTTCATGAACATAAATGCAAACATTCTTAATACAATTTTAGCAAATCAATTACAAAAACATATAAATGAATAACACATCATAACACATGAGATTTTTCCCAAAAATACAATCTTAGTTTAACATTCAAAAATCAATCAATGTAATTCACCATTTAACAAGCAAAAAAAGATTATGATTATCTCAATGTACACAGAAAAAGCATTTAACAGAATTGATATCCATTCCTAATAAAAACTCTTAGAAAATCAAGAGTAAACTGGAACTTCCTAAGCTTGGTAAAGGGCATCTGTGAAAAACCTATGCTAACATTGTACTTAATGGTTTAAGATTAAATACTTTCACCCTAATATTTAAACAAGTAGAATATATTTGCTCTCATTACTTCTACTCGACGTTATACTAAAGGTTCTAACCAGTGCAATTAGGCAAGAAAAAGAAGTAAAAGTCATCTATATTGGAGAGAAAGAAGAAAAACTCTATTTGCAGAGAATATGATTCTCTAGAGAGAAAGTCCCAAGGAGTTAACAACAACCAAAAAGTTGGTAGGAACAGCCTACAAGTGAAATTAAAAATTCTATTCACAATAGCAGCAAAAAGAATATAATACTTAGGAATAAATTTAACCAAAGACATTCAAAACATATATACTGAAAACTACAAAGCATTGCCAAGAGAAATGTTAAAAGATCTAAATAAATGTATAGTCATTTTTGATGGTTAATTCTGTGTCAACTTTGTTGGGTGATGGTGCCCCAATAGTAGGTCAAACATTATTCTGGATGTTCCAGTGAGGCTGTTTTTATATAAGTTTAACATTTAAATGAGTAAACTTTGAATAAACCATGCTATCTTCCATAATGTGAGTGAGCCTCACCCAGTCAGTTGAAGGCTGGAATAGACCTCCCCTGAGCAAGAAGGAATTCTGCAGTAGGTGGTCTTCACATTAAACCTCTTTCTCCCACCATATACAAAAATCAACTCAAAATAGATTGAAGACTTAAATGTAAAACCCAAAACTATGAAACAACTATAGGAAAACACTGGGGAACTACTTCACAGCATTGGGTTGGATAAAGAGTTTTTAAATAAGACCTCAAAAGCACAGGTAACAAAAGCAAAAATGGACAAGTGAGATTATATCAAACTAAAAAGCGTTTCCAAAGGAAAAAGAAAATAAATAACAACAGAGTTAAAAGACAACTTACAGAATGAGAGAAGATATTTGCAAACTATACATCTGACAGAGGATTAATATCCAGAATAGATAAGGAATTCAAACAACCCAACAGCAAAAACAAAACAAAACAAAAACAAACAACAACAAAGAAAACCAAAGCAAAACAAAAAACCACCTAATTTTAAAATGGACAAAAGTCCCTAATAGACAGTTCTTAAAAGAAGACACACAAATGGCCAAAAGTCATATGAAGAAATGCTCAACATCACTAATCACCAAGAAAATGCAAATCAAAACTACAATGAGCTACCATTTCAGTCCAGTTAAAATGGCTATCATGAAAAAGATGAAAGAAAACAAGTGTTAACGAGGGTGTGGAGAAGAGGGACCACATACCCATTGTTGGTGGAAATGGAAACTAGTACAGCCATCATGAAATACAGCATGGAGGTTCCTAAAAATTTTAAAAATAGAACTACCATATCATCCAGCAATCCTACTACAGAGTATAAGTCCAAGGGAAATCAAATCAGTATGCCAAAGAAATATCTGCACTCTCATGTTTATTGCATCAGATTTAGAACCAACTTAAGTGTAAGTCATCAGATAAATGGAGAAAGAATATATATATATATATAGAGAGAGAATATATATATATAGTATTTCATTGTATATATATGTATGTGTATATATGTATACACATACATATGTGTATATATATATATATACACACAATGAAATACTATTCAGCCATTAAAAGAATGAAAACCTGTCATTCATGACAACATGAATGGATCTGGAAGACACCATGTTAAGTGAAATAAGCCAGATATAAACAGATACTGCATTAACTCACTTATATATGTAATCTAAAAGAGAATAGTTGATTTATAGAAGCAGAGGGTAGAACTCTGGTTACCAGAGACTGGGAAGGGGAAGGAGAAGGGGAAGGAGCAGAAGAGGAGAGGTTGGCCAGTGGGAGCAAAATCACCACTAATGGGAGGAATAAGTTGTGCTGTTCTATTGTATGGTAGGGTGATTATGACTGATAATAAAATACTGTATATTACAAAATAGCTAGAAGAACGGCTTTTGAATGGTCTCACCATAAAGAAATGATAAATGCATGAGGTGACACGTGAGGTGTCATTAGAGAGATACAA